GCAACTGCTATGTGATTGGTTGATTAGATAATTGCATTAATGAGAAATTGAACAGGTGTTCCTAATAATCCTTTAGGTGAGTGTATATTTATATAAATATATAATATTTATAAAGAAAGAAATTGCAATAGAAAAGCATTGTTCAGTTTATGATCAACTGAATAAACAGACATAAGATACGGTTTTACAGTCTAATGCTGAATGTTTATCGCTATCGTTTTTCCGCCTATATAAGTGAAATTTCAGAATGAAACTTTTAGTCGGCATTTTAGCCTCAAACAACAAACCAACGCTTTAGCACATCATTGTGTTTACATGTGGGAGGTGTTCCAATTATACCATGGGTGCGTTCTATTTCAACTGTTTTGATGGAGCGCGACATCAAGCATACACATACAGACTGGTGTGAATAAATATTTCGAAAATATCAAATAATTGTCTTCCTAATAAATAGAGCTATGTTTTGTTGTTATTTCTAGTAGAACTTCAGTCCATTTTGAGTGTTTATCCATTTAATTATAGGCTTATAATAAACGAAATATAAAATAAATATTTTGGTAGTACTTTCTATGAAGCCCATATTCATAAAGCCTAATAACTTCTTATATAAATTCTTATAATTCATTGTAACATTCATTAAGTATTATAGATACGGCTATAAAGATTTCTAAAAAGAAATAACACATTATAGCCATGTTTCTCACGCATTATGAATGCTCTGTTAAGGTCTTATCTATAACCCACTATGAATATCTTCATAATGCATAATAATGGTCAGAATAACAATTAAGGATGCTTTGTGCTGGATTATGAAGGTATTTGTGGTGCATTATAGATGGAGACTTAATTCACAGAGCATTCATGATGCATAATAAACATGACTATATAATGTGTTATGCCTTTTTTACGAATAGTTATAGCTGTGTTCATAATACTTTCGGAAGATATTATAATGCATTATGAAGGTATGTATAATACAATATAATGACTGCTTTAAGTAAAGTGTTACCAATATATATATATTTTCCCAGAATTTTACCACAAATTATTTAAATAGCATTTGTATAGGAATCATTCTGTCCCGAGCTTTTTGATCCATAGAAGCGGTCTAGATCTATTAATTACTATAACCGTGATCGCTATAAGTGGTTTCCACTGTATTGTGGTGAAAAAGCCATCCCAGTTTATTTTAAATCACAGTAGGATATAAGCAAGTTCTGCAATAATTCCATGATTTCGCCTAGCTTGTCCAGCAGTGATCATTACCTTAAAATGGAAGCAAATGGGATAAGACATCCAACTGTGATGTAACAGTTATCTCGACTCTGGAAAGAAAGTGGATCTGTCCTGTTCCTCAACCCTTAGAACGCGGCAAACGCAAAATGCATCGATTTTCGCAACCATTGATCTCAACTGCGGTCAAGCTATCCGTGCTTTGCCAACACGGTCAGATCATCCGCGCTTAAAATGTATAGAAAATGTATAAAATGTAAGATACATCGTTCAGTAATTTGTACAACACTGTAATTTTAAAAGCGTTTGAAACAGCTGTAATGTATTTTGAAATCGTCATTAAAATTCAATAGCTAAATAATGATGCTGTCCGTTTTATTACCTTATATACGTGTTATAAATATACAAATGTCAAGTACATGGTAATCTGCCTGAGACAAAGAAAAAAATAATCAGTCATAATGATCATCCTCTTATAGTGATCAGTTTCACCCAGACAGACGTGAGTGGTTTCTTTCAACTTTCAAACCTGCATCCTTGCAATCAATGTAAGGGAAATCATTTTTAGATCATTCTAAACTCAGTTATCAAATTCTTGTTATCGGTGGTTTTTATTGCTGTGTTTTGATGTACAGTATATGTTTTTTGTTTGTTTCCTTTAAGCCATACATCACTGACAGGAAAGGAGAGAGTAGCTTCCATTGTTAAGCATCCTATGAAAGATACATACTAGATGAAATTTAACTGACTACTTCCCATGACCGACTCATCATCATCATCATCATCATCATCATCATCTGCCGCTTGTCCGGGGTTCGGGTCGCGGGGGTAGCAGCTTCAGGAGAGGCACCCAGACCTCCCTCTCCCCAGCTACCTCTACCAGCTCCTCGGGGAGGACACCGAGGCGTTCCCAGGCTAGCCGAGAGATATAATCCCTCCAGCGAGTCCTGGGTCTGCCCCGGGGCCTCCTCCCTGTAGGACATGCACGGAAAATGACCGACTCATCCTTTTAAATACAAATTAAATACAGGTTAAATGTAATCTAAACCATGTCCCAGTCATACTAAATTTATATTTATATATTTCTAGCTACAGCTTAAGTACAAACATTCGCGCATACTGATGGAGCAAATGTTGAAGACGAAACTTTGGTTTAAGCAAAACGATTTTTAAATTTATGATACATTTTACGGTGCTTTAGTAATTATGCGATGATCCCTAATATCCTCGGTTAATGTTTGCGCTCCTTTGCGACGTTCCCTTACGTTTCTGATGAAATACCCTTACGGCGATTTGGGCTGAACTGCGCAGAGGAGGAAGTGCGATCTGCTGCATTATTGGAAGTCTATTACCGCTAAAATACCAATAAGGATTACTCCATTAACCTCCTAAGAATAGTGCTGTTTTATTGTTTAGCTACACGAAAAAGCGGTAAATTGTCAAAGTATCTAGTTATTTATGGTTTATTAACAACGCTTCATATTTTTTGCCAGATTTACGGATATTACTCACCGGTTAGTCACATAAACTGGTCACCGTAACTTGGACTGCATTCAATCGCTAGATTGAGCTTCATTGAACAATTAAGATGGCTCTTTATGTCTACGTGGCTTTTTCGTGTACTTCTTGCCGTTCGTCTCTGTCTTCTACTGTTACAAGCGCTGGCCGGAATTTGTCCGATCATTGTATTGGGAGTGACACCGACATGGACACCGCCAGAGTCGAAGGCATCATGGAAGACGGCGTGCAGTGGGCTCACAGGCAAGCCGACCTGATCGCCGTCCAGGCGCGCTGCTGAGCGAAAATGTCCGTTCCCAAGGCTTTAATAATTAAATATAATCAGCTCCATTTTCTAGTGATATAGTTTTTTTCCCCAAAAAAAGTGCAAGGACAATTACCTACGTAACTAATCTTAGTGCTTTCAACCACTTATGTTATGAAGAATGAACGTCGCCCCTGGCATTTTAAATACATAGTTTAACTAATTCGCTATTTAACGTCGCAAATCAGCTACTTTTATCTAGTTTATGTATGTATTTTTATTTAAATCTATGACCGTTTTATCAAGTGCTCATGCATCCTAATATATAGTTACTTTTATAATTAATTCCCCAGTCCGGATTTAACTATTGTTGTTGTTGTTGGTTTATTCGTATTATTTCTCGTTATAAGAGATAAAAAACGTTCAGAAACATGAATTCAGATAGACTCAGTTCGAAGCAGAGTGTCACGTCGACTGTACCCGGCGAGTTTGGAGTCACGTCGCTGGTACACAAAAATCAGGAAAGTTCGTGGTTTGGCTTTTTATCGGTGGTTTTTAGGCCCGCCCTGTCTTTCGCTAAAAAGTATCTTCCGGGACGGCTTCAGACAGCTACCTTGTTAAACGGCGGATTTGGATCGATTAATGAGGACATTTCTCGATCTGCGGACGGAGATAGCTCTTTTTTAGAGCGACTTGGCAAATTTATTCCTGCAGCTGAACATCATCCACACATCGCCTACCTTCATTACCAGCATGAAGCCAGTGGCTTTGATTTTTCCTCTAAGGAATCTGTCAGGTGGACTAGTGCGGACTCTTTTCATGAATTGGGAATTAACCCTACTGATGTGGATTTGAATGTCATAAGGGACACAACCGCTGGTGGGTATTTAGCCGCAGCGAAACATTTTCTTTCTCAAATTCTGATCAGCGCAGTTTCATCTCAGAATGAAACAAGAACCGCAGAACAAATGCTAAGTAGCGATGGCTGGCCCGCAGATTTGTCAGCAACAAAAAGCAATTGGCAGGGTGAAATTTGGGGGTCTGAATTTAATGATTGGAAAGAGAAGGTATCGGCCACATGGTTTTATGGAGAAAATGTCAGTGACAGCCAGCAGGTAAAATCCAGCACAGCTGTTTCTGTTGCCAAGCCAACAAAACTGTTTGTACAATGTAAAGGATCAGTGCACAATGAACATACTGGACTGTTCCGTCATGCAAAACTGGCAGGTAATGGTGCATACTGTATGTCCATGCCAGGATACCTCCTGAGCACAGAAATTCCGCTGTTAGATTATGAACCTGTCTGTGCCAGTTTGGTCAACACAAGAACTGTTGCTGCCTGTCAAAGTGATGTGGCAGTGCTGACTCCTGATCAGGACAATGGATACAGAAGTTTGGACAAGGAGCACTCAAATACCAGATTGCATGTAATGAGATCCATTTGCCTCAATAAGGGATGTATAGAATCTGATACGAGAACTGAGGTACAAGGCTGCTCTATTGAGGAGGAACCAAAGGAAGCTACGGCAGAGCTCACTGAATGGGAAAGAGATTGTGATTCTGTTGCTAAGTCTGAAGAAGGTGAGCTGTCTGTTCAGGAGGAAGTGGAGGTGCCGGCCCAGCCTTATTTCTCCAAACCCAAGTGCCAAAACAAGACAATTGCCTACATCATGGGCAGCCAATGCAGTGAGGATAGCGATAGTGAGTCAGAGGGTGATTGCGATTGGGATGATGACGATGGATTTGACAGTGAGGGAGCTTCTGATTTTTCAGATTCTGAGGATTCTGATTCTGACGATGAGGAAGATTCAGAGGATGCAAATGCTGAGGTGGAAAAGCTTTGGAACTCTCTTTGCCAAAGCAGGGACCGTTATAATCTTTGGAACTTCACTGCACCTCTGAAGACTGCCGCGGATCCTGTCACACAAGCGAATGTTTCTGTGACGTTGGTGGAAGCAGAGCGTTCCATTTCCCCCAGCTCCTTTAGTTCCCTTTCCTCATCCCTTAAGCCCCTCAAAGAAGAGGATAATTCTGGAGACGAGTCTGGCAATGTGGACAAAGCAGATAGCCTTCGCTTATGGAACTCTTTCAGCTGTGTGTCAGACCCATACAGTCTCTTCAATTTCCAGGCCCCTCTGCGGACTCAACCTGCAGCCCGGAGCTTTACTGGTACATCTTTCACTTCACCATGCAGCCACAAGAAGGAAGCGGAGGAACGACTGGACAGTGGTTTTTCAGAAGATGTTTCTAGCCACAATACATCCTCTGCCAAGCTGAAAAAGGTGACAGCCTGATGTTCATTATCACCCACAGCATCACAATAATGTATTATTTTTGCCAATGCGTATGAACTGTAACATTACACTGCTACTGTTGTTGTCCCAAAATTTTATTTAAAATGACATCTTTTCAGTTATAACATTCTAATGATTTTCAGCTGTTCACTGTTTTACTGTTTTTGTTAATTCATATGACATTTAAACAATTGCAGATAGTTCTTTTTATAGATTTAATATAGAATTACCTGCTTAATATGTGGGTGCAAATTGAATAACAAAAAACCAAGAGAGTTTTGAGAGATGTGGCATTGTAATGAACCTTTTAAGGTTATAGGAACTGTGATAATGTTATTAAACATTAAGTTTATGAGTAGAAAAAAGGTCTAGTTGTAGATTAAATGTGTCCCCCTCAGTTCAAATACTGCTAAAGTAAGTTACTGACTAGGGATGTGAGTTGTAGACTCCTTGCATCTGTTTTGGGTGGATACATTTTTTGATATGCAATGAAAATTATATTTTTCCCATTTTAATAGAATAATTTTTTTCATAAACATTTAGAAGAGTGATATAATGTCATGAATATTTTTATCCACATGATTTTGTGTAATGCTACAGCCATGGCAGATGTGATGAAACAAACCCCCTCCCATGATTTTAATGATTTTAATTCAGATGATGCTTCTATCCCTGGGTCTCCAGGAAAATGTCTGCACTCCAAATTATTGTGCTTGCACATCTTACTTATAAGGATTATCAGCTACCTCTTCATTTTGATTAGCAGGACAAACTGTAATGCTTCCCTGCATTTACAGCCCTGTGTCATTCTGGTTGCTTTTATTTGAAGCATGATTTTTTTTTTCTTTCAATTTCTGGGAGAATTTCTTTGCACCGCAGATCAGTAAACGTCTATTGAGTATTGTGATTTAATGTGACAAGGCCTATTTTTGTCCACCAGGTGAGGTTTGTGGAAGATATAGAAGAATTCTATGCCAGTTGTGATGAAGATCGACGGGGTCCTTGGGAAGAGTTTGCCCGTGATCGCTGCCGCTTCCTTCGTCGTGTGCAGGAAACAGAGGATGTCATTGGATATTGCCTGGCCCCTGCCTTCCGGCAGTTAATCTTCCAGAGGTTGCATCAGAGCTCCTGAGTTGCTGCTGCTGTTACCTTTGTTGTGTTGTTTATCTGTCTCAGTATCTAGTAATTGCTGGACTCTGGACTGTCGTGGCAGCAGGAGACACAAAAATATGCTAAGAACTAAATGGCTAAGGGCTAAATCGTAATTCAAGTACAGCCTGACCCTGACTCTTAGTATAATTCTTTGCAGCACTTTCCCATAGGTGACAGTCTCCCTTGTTACCAGCCTTCACTGTGCAATTAACAATGCCCTTCATCATACCATTGTCACAAAGTTTTCTATATATTTCACTTAACAGTCTCATAACCTCTTTTTTCGATTGAGAATACCATGTATTGTCACCTTTCCTTTGTCATTTATTAGAGAAACTTGTGAGAATTGACAAAGGGGATTGTTTTGCTCAGGTTGGCTTGCACTGGGATTGTGGATATGGCTAGGTTGTGGTAAAACCTAAGAGAAGTTTGAAAATGGTATTTAATAAAAACATTACTAATAAATAACAGCATAGTACTGGGGAAACCCTAACTTTGCAACTCTTACAATTCCTAGAGATTTAACTACTTGGACCAGTTTAACACCTACATCAGTCTAAACTTCACTTGTACAGAGTACAAGGGTATTGGTCTGTGGTTTCTCAATGACATTGATTAATGGAAAGTATTACTTTTTGTGAATTGATTTTAAGGCCAAAGGTAAAACACAATTGAACTCTTAAATTTTACATCTTGAGTTCCTCAGTATTTGACTTTAGAGAGTTCTCTTTCGTGTTATGGGAGCAATTAAACCAGCTATGAATTTAGTCTAATTTATTGTAGAAAGTCTTCCCTTTGGTTATTTTGATAGTTTGGTGCTTTCACAGTGATGTGGACAATTAAAAGGGTTTGTTTCTCTGTACTCTGAAAATGACAGGTGTGATGAAAGCGGATAAATTTAGGCAGGTAACAGCCAGCAAAATGTGGATTTTTTTAATTAAAGGATATTACCAAAATGAGTGATATTTCTGTTTAATTGCATCATTAAATTGTTTTATTTTTCTAGTGCTTCTGCATCCTTTGAGATTTTGTGGAAGAAGTTATTGCTTCATTTACTGTATAAATAAAATGATATATACTAATAAATCAATGAAGAACATGTATTGATGAAGTTTTCTTTTTGAGTCAGTTTTTTTCTCTTTATTTCAAAATTACTTTACATACTTGGAACCTAGCACATACAAGAGCTTTTGAAATGTATTACATTTTTAATTTTGAGGTAGTTAAACTAATTTTGAAGTACTCCCCTTTTCATGACCCAAAACAACCACCCAGGGGATGTCTGTATCTTTACTGTTTTCCCCAGTGTTTTAAACATACGCAGTAAATTACATGTAGTATGTGTGCCTGTGTCTGGCGATTGAATCAGTTATTGTGTAAGATGTACAGTAGGTTTGCCTCGTACTGTCTCAAAATTTGTTTTTGTCTTGTAGGACCAGTGACCAAGATAAAGACAGGTGTCTTACATGTTGAGTCACCAAACATGTTTATTGTAGAATGTAAAACCAGTTTTACCAAGTCATTGTTTCATTTGCGAATCTTGAATTAGAATAATTAAGACTATTCTGCTTTTTGTGTTAAATGTAATGTGAAAAAGGAATAGTGATTATGAAAGGGTAGGACGGACTCGTAATAAAAATGTTTTGGTTTATGAACGGAGTGAAAATAGACAAGGGACAGTCTGTAGTGGTTTTGGGTGCTGCATTGTTAAAAACATAAAATAATAATGAGCTCCGAAGCTACATTTGTCCTTTCAAGAATAACTATATACTCGGTATTTCTTGTATTAGTTCTGAATGATGTGTACGCCATGTCAATAGACACTTGCTGGCAGAAGCAGATAAAGTGGACATGAAAGGAAATGCCCGATGCAATAAAAAAAATGAATATGCGAAACAAGCACATTGACTGCTTTAAAGCAACGTTTTCTGGCGAGCTGGGCGTATTTGCTTTCCTAAGCCTTCACTTCACTTATCCTTCGGTTTATAAACATTCATAACACAAGAACAGGACAAAACTGTCGATGCAAAATGATCGTGAGTGTTCGGGTATGTTGTAATGGTCGCTATGGTCACATAAACAGCCATTGTCGCACTACGGTATATTTACTCCGGACACGTAAATACGTTTGCCATTGTGCCTTGCCATGGTGCTGATGCTTTCTTTAATATCACGTCGTACTTGCGGGTTGTGGTAATTTTAGTTTCATTTAATTTTAATGACTGTTGTGTAATATTACACTTGCTACCGAGATACAAATATTGCACCTCGAATATGCGTGCATTGCCTTTCCTAAAAAAAAAAAAAGCGATTGACGTCATGTTCTCGCGAGAGGTAAACGCCATATTTTGGCGCACGGATGTGGCTCGGAATGGGCTGCATGATGTTAAATGAAATATGCTTTTCGTTAATTTGGAAATATTTTAGTAAACCAAAAACTAGTCTGTCGAGAGCGACATAGTGGCTCATTTGATAATACCCTTGCCTTTCACACCCAGGGTTTGGTATCAGAAGCAGTTATCTTTTTGAGTTGAGATGTAGTACAAGCTGAAAGAAAAACATCAGGGGGCGAATTAACAGGATACCAATATTTGATTATTCTGTGCTGTTGAGTACTGGTAACCTTCCAGGGTGTACCCTGTCTTGTGTTCTTGAGATAGGCTCCAGGTACGGTGGCCGAGAGAGCTCAACGCGCTGCAACTTCAGAAAACACATGCAAACAGAAAAAAACCATGCTGCAACTTCAGAAAACACATGCAAACATAAAAAAACCACAACAAATTAAGAAAACGTCTCCATTAGTTTGACAACACAGGCGCTGCAAATACACGAACGCGCAGCAAACACAAAAAACGCGCTGCAAACACAAAAAACGAGCTGCAAATAGCAGACCACAACGGAAATGTTTCAGGGGGACCTCAAAAAGTGACGAACCCATCTGGGAGCTGATTATTTGTTCAGTGGCTTTTGGTCAGAGCAGAGGTGTTGTGCGTGAACTAAAAGGTGTTTTTTTTTAACAATCTGATTATACGATTCATTGGTCTTTTGGATATTATTAGACTAATCTGACGAATCACACACTTAACTGTGGAACGTTATTAATTTAATTGCCA